GACCTGACCTAGGGTGGATTTTATATTGGGTTTTAAATATTCGGAAGACGCAACATTAAAATTCGGTTTAATTCGGTTTTAAGGGGGGGATTGCATATATGTTAATGGTTTTAAATATGTTGTGCGCCGCCCTGAGTCCCTGTCGGGAGAAGGGCGGCATATAAATTAAATTAAATAAATAAATAAATAAAATAAATAAGCATATAAGGAACGGCTGCTGGAATTGGGTATGTCTAGTTTAATGAAGAGAAGGACGAGGGGGGACATGATAGCAGTGTTCCAATATCTCAGGGGCTGCCACAAAGAAGAGGGAATCAAGCTATTTTCCAAAGCGCCTGAAGGCAGGACAAGAAGCAACGGATGGAAACTAATCAAGGAGAGAAGCAATCTAGAACTAAGGAGAAACTTCCTGACAGTTAGAACAATTAACCAGTGGAACAACCTGCCTCCAGAAGCAGTGAATGCTCCAACACTGGAAGTTTTTAAGAAGAGACTGGACAGCCATTTGTCCGAAATGGTATAGGGTTTCCTGCCTTAGCAGGGGGTTGGACTAGATGACCTCCAAGGTCCCTTCCAACTTTACTATTACTACTACTAACATACCCAAAAAACCACTGCAAAGACAAACTAGAAACAAAAATTAAAATAAGCAAGAAAATCCCACCTTGACGAATATAAATCACCAGGACCTGACAGATTTCATCCCAGAGTTCTGAAGGAGCTGGCAGATGTTATCTTAGAACCATTGCACCACATCTTTCATAAATCCTAGAGCACCAGGGAAGTACCTAAGGATTGGAAAAGGGCTGATGTAGTTCCCATCTTCAAGAAAGGGGGGGGGGGGAATGGACCCAGGAAACTACAGACCAGTTTAACATCAATACCTGGGAATATCCTAGAAAAGATAATCAAAAAACAGATCTGCAAACAACTAGAAGCAAACAAAGTTATAACTAGTAGCCAGCACGGGTTTGTTAAAAACAGATCATGCCAAACCAACCTTATTTCATTCTTTGATAAAGTGACTAAACTAGTAGACCAGTGAAATGCTGTGGATGTTTTAGTATATCAATGAGTAGTCCTCAATGGTTCTACATCCACATGGAGAGAAGTAAGCAGTGGGATACCACAAGGTTCCATCTTAGGCCCAGTACTCTTCAATATCTTCATAAATAACTTTAATTGAATTGGGAATTCAATTTGCAGATGACACCAAACTGGCAGGAGAAGCCAACACCCCAGAAGACAAACTCAGAATCCAAAAGGATCTTGACAAACTTGAACAATGGGCCCTATCCAACAAAATGAGTTTCAATGTGGAGAAAAGCAAAGTTTAACATTTAGGCAGGAAAAATCAAAGGTACAAGTACAGATTGGGCAAGACCTGGCTTAAAAACAGTAACTGTGAAAGGGACCTTGGAGTCCTAGTGGACAATCACTTGACTATGAGCCAGCAGTGTGCAGCAGCAGCCAAAAAAGCTAATACAATCCTGGGTTGTATAAACAGAGGCATAGAATCAAGATCACGTGAAGTATTAGTACCACTTTATAAAACCTTAGAAGACTACACCTGGAATACTGCAGCCAATTTTGGTCACCATATCACAAAAAAAGATGCTGAGAGTTTGGAAAAAATTCAGAGAAGAGCAACTAAGATGATTAAAGGTCTGGAGACTAAAACATACGAAGAACGGCTGCAGGACTTGGGTTTGGCTAGTCTAAAGAAAAGAAGAAATAGGGGTATTTGAGGGGCTGCCACCAAGAAGAGGGGGTCATGTTATTCACCAAAGCACCAGAGGGCAGGACAAGAAACAATGTTTGGAAACTGATCAAAGAGAGAAGCAACCTGGAATTAAGGAGAAACTTCCTGACAGTGAGAACAATTAACCAGTGGAACAATCTGCCTTCAGAAATCATGGGCGCTCCATCACTGGAGATTTTTAAAAAGAGGCTAGACAGTCACTTGTCTGAGATGGTATGGGTCCTCCTGCTTGAGCAGGGGGCTGGACTAGAAGACCTCCAAGGTCCCTTCCAGCTCTATTCTATTCTATCCTTACCAGAGAGGGAAAACACATAATTCCTCCATTCTGGCAGAGGCACCATTGCCTATCTTTGGGTATAAAAAGCTGAGACTAAATAGAAAATACTGCTTTTTAGTTGGGAGGAAAACTGATTTTAACCATACCTACGAACTGATCTAAGACTGATGGTCTTGAGGAAATTGGAATTCAGTGAATAAAATTAATATTTAGGCTTTCCCAAGTATTTTTTAATATAAGGCTAAATAAGATAGAATTAGCATAATAAGGTCTATATCACAAGTTTTTTTGTCTTGTGTCTCATTCTTGCCTTTTCTATATTCGTTCATTCTAGAGATTTTTATTTTTGATACCAGAGTAGTAGATAGAGTTGCCGCCTAGGTATAATGAAAATGGGATTGTGTTAAAAGAGACAAGGATAGGCACACATCATGAATATGAGGAATGTGTCTAGCCAATGCAAAGCTTCTATTCTGTTTAACTTGGTTCACTCAGGTCCACCCAAAATAGATGTTTTTCTATATATTTTCTGTACAGAATATATTTTATCTAAAAATATTATATATATTTTCCATATTTCTATATATTCCTAATATTTAATACCTTATAATCTCAAAAACATCTTGCATGTATTTGAAGTACATTTTAAGTAGTGATAGTCTAAGATAGGGACAGTCATTTTCAAATATTTGAATTAGAAATTCATTCTGATGCTGACTACTTCATAGGAGAATAATTGCCAGTAGGGAGTTGGGATGAGCCTGTCCTTCATTACAGGAATTCAGGCAAAATAAGGATGGAAACCTGTTAGGGAAACTATAGTAGCGGTGTAGCTACATCAACGGCAGTTTGACTTAAAAGATCTCTAATGTCCTTTCCAACCAAATTAATTATGTTGTTGTAATACTGCATTATTCCTTATCTGTGTCTGAGAGAGAATACTTATTGCAGTCATTAACCAGGACACTTATCTGTGATTTTTTTTACTATTAATTTTCACTGCAGACTACAAAACTGTCTAGCTTGATGTGCAGTTTATGTAAGTCAGAGATCTAAAGTTTAACATTTTTAAATTTGACTACTTTTCTTTCTAAGGAATGACTCGAGCCAAAAATGAACTTGGGCGTAATGGGGAATTCATGATGCTATACAACCAACTTGAAAACATGTTTTTTGATTCAACTTCATCAAATGGTAACATCAATGAACTAGGCTGGCAATTTATCTACTCAAAATATAGCAGTGCTATTTGTTCAGCATGACAAATGACTTTACTAAGGACTGAAGAATATGTTTAAAATACCCATGGATATTCTTGGTGAAGGCTGTCTTTATATAGTATGACTTTTGTGGCTTAAGGGTATACTATTTTTTTTCAGATATTAAAAAATATCTCTATTTTGGTTTAAATTTGATATCACTCTTATTTATTTTAACAAATTTCTGCCCCCATCAGTTGTCAACATTTTTGGAAGTTGTTTACCATTGTTTTCCTAGGGGGGAGAGACTGTGACTGCCTCAAAGTTATCTAGCTGGCTTTATGCCTAAGGCAGGATTAGAACTCATAACTCTCCAGTCTCTAGCCTTATACTGTACTTTAACCACTATACCAAACTAAAGCTCTGTATCTCAAATTTACATTTGAATAAATTATAAATATTTAATTGCACACTATATCTATTTCTTTCCTTCATTCATTCATTAAATTTCATTAAGTCACTTGGTCCAAGTGACTCTGGGCTGGTTATAATTCTAACTATATTTTACAATTCAGTTGTACCTTCTACAACTGAATTCTACAATTCAGCAGAACTGGAGAAGTTTCTTGGATGATAAGTGAAATGTTTTCAAGGAAAAAAAATAAAAGGTCCAGTTGCCTTTTGAAAAGCACCTTTGGGACAACCATGACCTGAATGATTGAGAATCTCCATATATGTTTACAATCCTAAAATTATAAAACAATTTAAAACAGCAAAAACATGCAGAAGATACATACAGCAACAAAGATAGTTAATCGGCTAACAGTAAAACCAAAAAACAGGGTCCTTAACATATTGTGTAACGGGGTCTCAGTAGAGTAGTCCTATCTTCTAGTTCCCATCGTTCAACACTATTTGACTGATGGGATCTGCAGCATGTCCAGTCTGCTGGATTGAATTGGATGAATAGAGATTCTTGGAAAAAACAGTCCCTCAGGTAACTGGTAATCTTACAGGATTTTCCCTTAATAATAGGATTAAGACAGAGGTCTTCAAACTTGGCCCTTTTATGACTTGTGGACTTCAACTCCCAGAATTCCTCAGCCAGCTTGTCTGGCTGAGGAATTCTGGAAGTTGAAGTCCACAAGTCATAAAAGGGCCAAGTTTGAAGACCCCTGAATTAAGGAGAGAATTTTATTATATTTTGAAGGGATAACTTTTCACAGAGGAGATTTTTTTTAAAAAAAAAAAAAGTTAATGCTGTCTATAGATTTTTATATCTAAAATTTAAAAAATTTGGGTTTGCAGGAGCTGAAGACATGAAGACTTTCATTTATAGTCATCCCAAATTAAAGAAATTAGAAGATGTTGTCGTACAACATTTCAGATCCTGGAGAGAAAGTCAAGGTACATATAGGATGTAACTCAACTGCTAATGAAAAAGTTGCAAGAAATCAAGTAGTATTGTTGAACACTCAGTTTTGTTGGGTTTATATTCTATACCCTACTGTTTTCTACTTTGAATTTTAAGCATTATGAATTATTTGCTCTTTAATATTTTGTCATTCATTTTATACTGTCCTTATTTCCAAGACTCTGGCTAAATATTTGGTTTACCAGTATATGCAGTTTTTAATCTGACACAATTTATCCTTTAAAAATAAATGTTCTTTGTTTTTATACTTTTTTAACTTTACTAGTTCCATTTTACCAGCATGATGCTTAGTCTTGATTAGGATGCTAGTCAGTGAAATTGATTAACTGGAGATTCTGCATGTCTGCATGTTGTATCAAATTTCTCCATATGTGTTTGTTGAGGTGTAGTTTATTGGTTTGCTTTCTCTATTACATAGATCAGCCTACATCTGAAGTCACACCTGCAGACACCAGAGTGATGATCTTCTCCTCCTTTCGTGACAGTGTTCAGGAAATTGCAGAGATGCTTAACTATCACTACCCACTTGTGAGAGTCATGACCTTTGTAGGCCATTCTACAGGCAAAAGCACAAAGGGTTTTACACAGAAGGAACAGCTTGAGGTAATGAAATGGGAGGAGGGAGGGATACAAATTCTCCTGCATGGTATAACAAATTTTATCCTTAGCATACTTGTAAATTATCATCCCAAACAGATTTCTGATGCCAGGAAAATGGGTTCATAATATAGCAATACCCATGCTGCACTGCATAAAATTTGTTTTCACCAGGGCTTCACTGCTGTAATCACATATAATTTAAATTCACTTGAAATGAATAAAACTCAAACACATAACTGCCCTGCTTATAGTTATAAGCATGTGATCATTATTTGGCTGTGGAACTCTCAGCATTTTTCAGATTGTTGCATTTTTCAAATAATAACTTGTTTCCTCTTAGTTATTTTTAATAGAAAAAGTAATTATTCTTCCTATAGAAATAAAGATGTAATGAGAAGCAGAATTTCATAGCTGCTGTGATTCCTTGCCAGCCGGGTGGATCTGGCAGCTGAGTCTGAGAAATCAGATGAGGAGGAGGGGCCTGGAGTGATATTAGCATCAGAGAAAGGCTCTGAGGAGCTCCAAGACTTACAGTTGGACGATGAGCCTGGCCCCTCTACTTGCACTCAGGCTGACACACAGCTGTGCTGGGAGCCTGAGTTGGATAGTGATGAAGAACAGTTGGGATAAATCCAGGATACGTGAAAGCGCAGGCAAAAGAAGCGAGTAGGACAGAGGAATGCAATGGGGCGGCTCCAAAGGCAAAGGAGAAGGCATTAGGAAGCCACGCCTTGGCTGAATTATAAAAGGGAAGGTGTGGGAGGTGCTGGTTGCCAAAGGCAAGCGTTTGTGTTGAGGATCGAGTTTCTGTGGACTGTGTTTGTTTGCCTTGGACATTGACTCAGGTCTGTGAGAATAAAAGGGGTTGGTTTTTTCTTGCGGTTCCTGCCTGTTTCTTGGAAGAGGGGTTTCTTCTTGTGAGCATAACAAGGACTCACGTAGACTGGGACAGAACAATAGCTTTGTTTCACATATTAGCTGCTCCTTGAGAATTTGTCTTGTTCCCAAGTGCCAGAGATGCAGAAAACCAGGGAGTGGCTTTCAAAGTTCTTCCATCACCATAGAAGAAACCATGTGATTGTCATGTCCTTCCAGCACCCTTCTCCAAATGGAACACAGGTTTAAAATTACATAGTGCTCCAGTCATCTTTGACCCCTTAGAGCAGGGGTCCCCAACCTATGGTCCGCAGCCCGGGACCGGGCTGTAGGTTCTTGCCCAGCGGGCCATGGAAACAGCTGGCTGGTGCACGCATGTGTGGGTGTGCATTTCCCCACACACACTCACGCTAGTGCCCGCAGCCCTGTTTCTGCATGTGCTTGGGCACAAACGGGAATGCTAGCGTGGGCCCATTTGCACATGCGCTGCTAGCCTGGGCAGTTTGTGCGGCCCATTTGCACATGCACAAACGGGCCACTAACGGCCGTGGAGGGTGCATGGCCGTTCACGCATGCACACAGCGGCAGCCAGTCTGCTAGTGCCACACCAGTGTGTGTGGCCCCGTCGCATGCACACGCTCATGCACACCAATTTTGAAGCTGCTCTCCTCCCCTCTGGTCCTCTAGTCCGGAAAGGTTGGAGATCTCTGCCTTAGAGAATCACGAGAGCCGTATTCGCTCTCAACATTTTCTGCCTGTTTTCTGTCCTCATTCTCAATGTAGGTACTGAGAACTAAAAATAAGACAATTCCCAGCCAAGGTCATTTTATGGGGGTCCTCTATGAGTCTGTCTCTGATTCAGCAGCAGGAGAAGTATTTATTGCTTCATTAAGCTTCTCAACTGTGCACAATATGGTTCATCAAGTTAGTTAAAGTTATTGTGAGACTTCTTGGGATAAAATTAGCCCATCTGTCCCTGTCTTCAACTGGGTTAGAGAGTTCACATGACATTCCAACACTATAACTACTTTCACTTGGTTAAGAAAGTGGCACAGATAGAATGAGAGAAGTAAATGTGTACATTATATCTGTCCTTCCTTCGGATCTTTGCGATTGCGCTTACTATCAATTACTAATGCATTGTGTAGAAAACAAAATGTTTTATGATAGAGCAGTATAGTAATTGATAAAGTTCCTAAGTTTACTGAACAGTTGAACAATTTAAACTGACCCTATCTGTTTACATAATGTTATTATCTTAAAAAAAAACCCTCAATTGTTCCATGTAACTTAGTGCTAGTTTCAATAGCTTCTTCTACTTTGAGAGAGGTACACAATCCTCATTTCTCATGCATATTCCAAATTCTATGACATCTACTGATCTCATAATATTTCCTTGCTATGTGGATTTGTTTTCTTAAGAACTGCCAGAATCAAACTAAAGCTTGTTTATATTTTCTTTTAGGTAGTGAAGTGTTTCCGGGAGGGTGGCTACAACACATTGGTCTCCACATGTGTAGGAGAAGAAGGCTTGGATATTGGAGAAGTGGACCTCATCATTTGTTTTGATGCTCAAAAAAGTCCCATTCGTCTTGTGCAGCGAATGGGCCGAACTGGACGCAAACGGCAAGGGCGCATTGTTGTCATTCTCTCTGAAGGAAGGGAAGAGCGAGTAAGATGAGACTCCAAACCCAAGTTTGTTTTGCCTAACAAATTCTAGGCACAGGGATTTTAGTGTTCTGAATGTTTCCAAAAACTCCATTCGGATCCTAGGTCTTGCCATCAAATAAAGTTGAAAGAAAGTAAGAGCTGAACTAGCAGATCCTGGCACTGCAGCAGTGGTGATGGTTCTGATGGTTGCAGTAGTATGTTCAGAAGGACTTGGGACAGGGGTTGTTGCTAGAGGCACTTAGGATTATATCCAGAAAACCTGTTTCCATTGATCTAGCGATTAAGGCACCAAGCGAGAAACCTGGAGACTGTGAGTTCCAGTCCTGCTTTAGGCACAAAAGCTGACTGGGTGACTTTGGGCCAATCACTCCCTCTCACAACCCAACTCACAGGCTTGTTGTTTTGGGAAAAATAGGAGAAAGGAGTATTAGGTATGTTTGCCACCTTGAGTTATGAATAAAAATAATAAAGGTAGGATAAAAATAAATTACCAGAAGGAATATTATTTATTTTAACAATATTAGTTCAGTAAATGTGGGGAGAAGAGATTTGATGTTTCTTTTTTTTAAGTAAGAATAAAGAGTATATAAAATAAACATTGCTATCAGACTTCTGAAACTAAGAATTGAAGTTAGAGTAATTGTGGACAGCATGATCTTTAACAACATGTTGGTGGAGTCACAATTATGCTGCTGCTCTTTTGTTCTGCTCTAATAAATCCTGACTACCTTACATTAATGATACATTCTTTTTGCATTATGTTTCTTTAGTCAATAAGCTTTATGGAGTTCTTGGTCATGGTTCAGTCCTTTATAATTGCATACATTACAGAACATTTTAAGGGATAGTGCATTAGAAGGCCATTTAGTAAAATGTTAACATAGGTTTTATTAAGAATATTGACTGTGCCAACACTTTGCTTTCTTTTATCTATATAAATTCAGTAAATAAATATTAAAAATCTTCACCTGAACATTATTAGACATGGAGTAATAGTGGGAGAACATAATCTGAGTTCTTCAAATA